ATAGGGTCGCTATGAGTCGCAAGTGACTTGACGGCACATAACAACAACAACAACAGTGGCCTAGTGTGTAAGAGTCGCAATGCTAACCCAGAAGTTGTGCTTTCTCTGATGTTTTGAATTCATCAGCTGTTTTGTTGGAGATGCATGGGTAGTCCCCTCTCATGTGATTTACACTCTCTGAAAACCCTTTGGAGGATAACTGAGTCACTTTAAACTCCCCAGCAATGAATAATGAGTCACTAAATATATTTTTGAGTTTCACATATCCATCACTACTTTGAGGGGAACACTTACAGTCTTTGACCTCTGTGAAACTATTCACAGCTATACCTACATATTGGATTTAATAAAAATGAAATAGTCTTTGTGTTCATATTTAAAAGAATAAATTCAGTGGAAAAGTAAAGGAAAATTTAGTGTAAAAATATTGTGAGCATGGGACGGTGGTATCTGACCTACACTTAACTTCACACAGGGAAAGAATCCACATAAAGAGCTTAAATAACAGAAAGACAAGTCTTTATGTTCCCATGCTCAAAACCTTTCTTCTAACATTTCTAACATCAACTGTCACTTCCATGAATTCACCACATCCCTTCTGTGCTTGATCATTCATTGCAATGGCCATACAAAACTTACAAATAATACTCACAAGTATGGGGAGCACATGTGTTTTAGTGGTCAGAAGACACGCTGCCAATTGAAAAGCATGAGATCTCTTTCTGTATGATGTGCTGCCTCTGAAAACCCACTGGAAGATCAGCTTGAGTAGATTCCAACTTGAAGTTACACAACAGAAGGGGTTTATTAAGGTGGTAACAGCTTACAATACAGGTGGTAATTGCTTACAAAACACTCTTGACATGCTTTAGTAATGACAGCTCCTTCTCAGCAATGCAGAAAGGGAGGATTTGACAGCTGCCCTCTTCAGGTAAGTGTTGCAAAACTCTTTCAATTCTACTAATTATGTCACTTGACCTGTGTTGATAGGTCACAAAGAGCTCATATTCACATAGTTCTATACAATGTGAAGAGTTGCAAAGACAATTGCTTATAAAAACCATATTTAGTATGTCACTGCATCACATTTAAGAAGCTAAAATAAATATTGACATTTTTCCATTTGACAATAATTTGATATTTAGGCAAGAATGCTCATAAGAAAATTAGAAGTAAATTGCAAAAAAATCTAGCATATGCTAGTTAATTTTTTTCCCTGTCATACCGTCAAGGCAAAAACAAACCATAGATGACTCTTTGGTGGGTTTTCACAGGCAGTTTATCACATGGGAGGAAATTGTCAGTCTTTCTCTCATAGACCAGCTGGTGGATTCAAACTGTACACCTTCAGGATTACAGTACAGCTTCTTGCTGTCAGAGCTCCCTTTTCTTGGTCTATTCCTATAAGATATAGTTGTTACATGTGAAGTAGAAAATACTGAGCTCAGAAATTTACCTTTCTGATAGCTGTCATAGTTTGCTTTCTCAAAGAAAGCTTAACTATTCTAAGCAATAAGAAAAAGAGTATTTCTTAAATAAAACATCCTATAAAGCATGACAAAAATCCTTGCCACTGGGTCAATAGGCAACATCTTAATAGATGGGAAAGAGATTGAACAATAAATGCATATTTTTAAAAAGTCAACTAGGGGAAGGGAAGGGAAACAGAGGAAATAAAATGTGCAACAATGAAAAAGTGCAAAATTAATTTTTCTGTAAACGTCATTAAAATCACAGTTAAAATAAAAAGTTTATTAAAAATAAAGAAAACATTGAGACTATCAATGACTTCATCTTACTTGGATCCACAATCACTACATTGGTACCAGCAGTCAGGAGATCAGGAGACACATTGCACTGGAAAAAGTCTGTAATCAGGGATAACTCCAAATTATTGAGGAGCAATGATGTCAGGGTGAGGACTAAGGTGCACCTTATTCAGGCCATGGTCTTTTCAGTCACTTGCTCTTCATCTGAGAGCTGGACAATGAATAAGGAGAATAGATGAATTGATGCCTTTGAACAATAGTGTTGGAGAAGAGTGCTGAAGATCTCATGGATTGCCAAAGGAATAAGCATACATCTTGGAGAAGGTGCAGAGTGCTCCTTGGAGTCAAAATTGATGATCATCTCCTATATTTTAGGCATGTTGCTAGGAGAGGATTTTTTTCTTAGAGGGGGACATTATGCTTGGACAGTGAAGGAGTGGTAGACCTTCTATCAGGTAGGTTGACAGAGTGATTGCAGCAATGGGCTTGAGTGTATCAGATTATGAAGATGGCACAAGATAAGACAAATTTCAGATATGTTTTTCATAGGGTCACTATGAGTCATACTCTACTTGACAGCTCCTAAGAAGAACAACAACAACATAATAAAGTATGGCAGTTTTGTAAAATCTATATACATACTCTTTAATATGTATCTTTGAAACTTTTTGCTTTGTTAATAGCTTAGTTTAACATTTATCTCAGTATATAAAGTTTCTTGCTAACATTCACAATATTTTTCTCAATTGTCTAGCAACCTGCAATTATAACAATTATGTTTTCCTTAAAATACATCAAGAAGAAAATAGTGTCAAAAAGTGATACATTATTAAAAAACTATAATCATACCAATCAGAAATTAGCCACAAAGTCATCAGTTACCTAGAATGAAAAAGTAAATGACAGTTAAATATTCATGAACAAAATTTATAATAGTTTTCCTTGAGTAAACTTGGTCACATTAATATATAATACAAGTTAAAGAATACGATGGAAACCACTCAGCTCTGGATAGATCAATCATTATACCTAAATTTTTATATCAAATCTGTTCATTTGAAGAATAAACATTCAATTCCATAACATTATTTTAACCATAATATTCCTTTAAGAATGTTCTTTTACTATGCTACTTTTATTTTCATACTAAGTGACACAGAATTATATGATGTAGGCAACGATATTCTTCTTATTTTGCTACTAAATAAGAGATTCATAAACTACTTTTTTTTTACCTTGGTATGATTTTAGTCATTAACAAGTTATCTAAGTCCATTTTCTCTTCCATATTTAGTTAATGACTGAGAATTTTATAATAGGACTCTAAGAAGAATGGGAAGCCCAGAATATTTAATCGTGCTAATGCGAAACCTATACTTGGACCAAGAGGCAGTCATTAGAACACCGCAAGGCAGCACCACATGGTTCAAAACTGGGAAGGGTGTACGCCAGGGATGTGTCCTTTCTCCATACCGTTGCAACCTGTATGCAGAGCAGATTATCTGAGAGGCCTGGCTCTATGAGGAGAAGTGTGGCATCAGGATTGGTGGAAGATCTATTAACAATCCGCATTATGCAGATGACACAACCCTGCTTGCCGAAACTGAGGAGGACCTCATGCACTTGCTGCAGAAGGTCAAGGACTGCAGCCTTCAGTATGGACTGAGGCTCAAGGTCAAGAAAACAAAGATTCTAACCACTGGACCAATTGGCAGCATCAGGATGGATGGCGAAGGGATTGAGATTGTTCACAGCTACAGTTTGCTTGGCTCCACGGTCAACACTCTTGGCACCAGCAGCCAGGAAATCAAAAAACGTATTGTGATGGGAAAGTCTGCAATTAGGGACCTCTCTAAAGTACTCAAGAGCAACTGCATCTCTGGAGACTATGGCACGCCTGATACAGCCCATGGTCTTTGCAATCACTTGTTATGCATCAGAGAGTTGGACAATGACTATAGAAGATCGAAGGAGAATTGATGCCTTTGAGCTGTGGTGCTGGAGAAAAGTATTGAATGTACCATGAACTGCCAAGAAAACAAACAGATTGATCCTGGAGAGGGTTAAACCAAGCTACTTCTTGGAGGCAAGGATTCAGGGTGTCCGTCTGACATACTTTGGACATGTTGCAAGGGGAGACAGGTCCTTGGAGAGGGACATCATGCTTGGTAAGGTGGAGGGACAGCACAGGAGGGGAAGACCCTCTATGAGGTGGATTGATTCAGTGACTGGGGTAATCGAGACGGGTGAGTCAGAGGCCATGCGATTGGCACAGGATAGAGCAGGGTTTAGGGCTATTGTACATAAGATCGTTATGAGTCGCAAACTACTCAACGGCACATAACAACAACAACTATATTTTACAGAGCTTGGCACATTGCAAGTATTCAATAAGTAGGAATGATAAGTTTGATTTGATGCTATCAGTAAAAGTAAATACTTCTTGACATTTTCTTTAATCAGTAAATTGATTTGTTATGATTTGCTATTAAACCTCAAATAAAATATCAAATTCCAAATTCTGGAACCACAGGTAATAAAATGAATATAACAAAAAACTAAACTCATTGACAATAAGTAGATTCCAATTCAAAAAGATCCAATATAACAAAAAAAAAGAAGAAGAAAAAAGAGATCCTATAAGACAGTAAAACTGCATACTGTTTCTGAAGTTATAAATATTTGTAGAAACCATTGGCTCATCTTCCTCCCAAAAAGTGGCTAATGGGTTCTAAGTGTTGTTGTCAGGTGTTGTCAAGTCAACTATGACTCATCACACCGTGAGAACAAGGGATCTGAACCTTTGCCCTAGCCTGTGTCCTGATATACTGAAGTATATTGCTGCCTTCACTGTGTCAATTCTTTAACCACTATGCCGTCAGGGCTCCTTAAGCAGTTTAAGAGTTAATTAAATCACAGTACTATACAAAACTTTTTCAAAATATCTTCAAATCGACTCTCTGAATTGCTTTGAAAATATTTTTGAGAGAAAAATAAATTAAAAGATAAGTGACTTTGTCTAGGAGTAAATATATATATATATATATTCCTCTTGGAATGAGAGGGAACTAGAGGTCAAATTAGGCTTTGTAGAATAGGTAGAAACAGTGAAAATTAAAAGGGTATAAAAATAATATTATTTTAAATACATACATTGACGTGTCTATGACACACAGGACCCTTCCAGTTGTTTTGCTTATTACTTGAATATTCTTATTAAAATTATTCACATCATCTAGAGAACGTCAATCTTTTGGCCATGTTTCTAAAAGCATCTTTTACCTGTTTGTTTCTCAGTGTATAAATAAAAGGATTTAACATAGGAGCAACAGAAGTACTGAGAAGTGCTATTCCTTTATTTAAAGAGACTCTTTCCTTTGCAGAGGGCTTTACATACATAAAGATACAGCTGCCATAAGAAATAGAGACAACCACCATGTGTGAAGAACAAGTGGAAAAGGCCTTTTTCCTCTGTTGAGCTGAAGGTATTTTCAAAATAGTCCGAATGATGTTTGTGTAGGAAAGAACCACTAATATCAGTGTAACCAAAAGCGTCAAAATAGCTGAAAGGAGAGTCATTAATTCTATTGTATATGTATCAGTGCAAGAGAGCTGTAGTATAGGAGAAACATCACAGAAGAAATGATCTACAGTATTGTCTGCACAAAAGTCCAGTTGGAGACCCATAAGAAGAGGTGGAAAAATTATTAGGAAACCAGACAGCCAGGAAGCAAAGATCAGTAAGTTGCAGACTCTGCTGTTCATGATGGTCATGTAATGCAGGGGTTTACAAATGGCCACATAGCAGTCATAGGACATAGCAGCCAGAAGGAAAAACTCTGTTGCTCCCAAAAGAATAGTGAAAAACAGTTGTGCTGCACAATCATTGTAAGAAATAGTCTTATCCCCTGTGGTCATGCTAATAAGAAATTTGGGGATGCAGACAGTTGTAAAGGATATTTCTAAAAATGAAAAGTTCCGGAGAAAGAAGTACATGGGCGTCTTGAGATGTGAATCCAGTAAGGTGACAGCGATGATGGTTAGGTTTCCAGTAACACTCAACATATAGGTGAAAAAAAGAAGAAGAAAAATGACCACCTGTAATTGCGGATCATCTGTTAGTCCAAGAAGAATAAAGGTTGTCACAGTGGTATGGTTTCTCATCACTGCAGCTATTTAAAAATAGGAATAAAAATAAATGAAGGGGGAAGAAATTAGAACTAAAACATAGAGCTGAATATTTTACCTATTAAGAAAAAAATACCTCATACACACACTGCTACCTCATAGACATGACCCCCCCAATATTCTGCTATTCAAAAGTTGTGTTGTTGTTTATGTTGTTGTGTATTATCGAGCCAAAAACATTTCTACACATAATTTTTACTCAAAATTTAAGTCACTAAATGTAACACTATGAATTCATTTTCATTTGTGTTTTTATAAACTCAGGCATTTCAAAGGCATGAAGTATTACATTGAATATACTTGTCATGCTGAGGAACACTGTTTTGAAAGTTAAAGAAAGTAACAACAACAAAAGCTCATATTAGTTTAACTTTAATCTTCTGTATTTTTAGTGATTCTTTCTGATCCATTTACTTGATATTAAGTTATTTCACATTGTTGATGACTTGATACATTTTGCTAAATAAATATATTTATGCATATTATCTTTTCTGTTTTTCTATAAATCAAATAAATGTCTTCTTAGAATTCTCTGCCTCTTGAAATTTAAATAAAGCTGATATAAGCATCTATTTGCTATAAACAATGGAAAATCTATACCCTCACCCAACTTCTGAAAATTCTTCATGAATAACATTAATATGCTCACATTTTCTTAACAAGATTATTTGTATCATTTAACGAAAATGTATGTCAGCTCATAGTAAAATTAAAATGTTTCTCATCAATGTGATGGTTCTAGAGGTATCTGGTGTCTGTGGTTGTTTTGACAATTAAGAAAAGATACAGCGGTTGGATTTGACAAAAAAAAATACATTGCAATGAATTAACTATAACTGCTATGTAAACATAAAGGAAATTTTCCCAACTTGTTCTTTTCCATATATCATAATCCAAAATTATCACAGTGACCATTTATACTAGAGATATCTATAAATGCAATTATGAGGAAAAATGACAAATTCATTACATAAAATGCATTCTGATTTTATATATTCACTGTGAAGGATATGTTTGTACCCAAAGCTTAATTTTCACTAAATGAAAGAATCAAAATTCCTTATTAGATCACACAATTGTTTCTTTCAGTATAACTTTAAAAAATTTATTTTAATGTTTGCTCTGTAGAAAAAATAAAGAAAAATGTTTAGTTCTGTGTTATACTGTTTGAATGGTTATAGAAATCAATTTACCCTTTAGTATAATGCAATCAAATTAACATTATTAAAATTGAAGTACAAAATTTCCAAACCTTAATGACATTTTAGCAATTCCATTCCTAACCATCCACTTTTGATGTGCATCACTGAAGAGAGACAATTTCTGAATATTCAATCAGATTCATTATGGAACTTTAAACCATACTTTATCTTGTAGTTTCATTCAAAATACATTAGCATCAGGAACACTCACTCAAGATATGTAAGCACATAAATAAATAAATGGCAACATCATATAAGAACCAAAGGCTTTCTCCAAATACTTAGTGCTTATTTCCTAGTTATATATAATTACATATCTATTTCTTTTAAAAATTTAGAAGTGAAGAAAAAATCCTCAGGCTCATTGTTTGAAATATTTCTGACCTATAAGAGTACAATCATTTGCTTTTTAATGTTTAAGACTACAGGTTCTCTAATCCTTTTGGTATACTGTACTCATTTTTCTCAAGGGAATTACAAAAGATGAAAATATTTCCTCAGAGGACTTTCTTACAAGTAGATAAAAGGCTTATTAAAAAAGTAATTAAGTTTAAAAAGTTGTATGCTACCCTCAAACTCAATATTTTTAAAGGACTAATGTGACTCTTGAAAGCAGTCATATTCTGTGACTTCATGAAATTTTTAAGAAAACATAAGTGAACTTATATTCCTATGTCAAGTATACATTGAGAGAACATGAAAAGCAAAACTCAATATTCTATAGTGTGGAACATTTAAGGGGAATATTAAATATTTGAACGCATGTTAATTAAGTAAACAACTAAAATGTCTTATGGGTAAAAAAGCTTTGCAGTTGCAAAAAAAGCCAAGAAATAAAGTTTAGACATCCCATACTGTGTAAAGAAAAATAGCAGACAAAGAAAGGGGAAACCAGACTATCAGCAGGACAGTTCCTTCTAAGACTCAAAATGGGAATCAAAGCTTTTGAGTTGTGGTGCTAGAGAAGACTATTGTAATATACCATAGGTGTCCAAAAGAACAAAAAATATGACCTGGAGAAAGTGCAAACCAGAGTACTCTCTAGAGGCAAGGATGAAGAAGATTCATGTTATATACTTTGGGCTTGTTGTTAAATGGGGCCAATATTTGGAAAAAGACATTATGCTTGTAAAGCTCAAGGGTTAATGAAAATCGGAAGATCCTCACTATAACAATGGGTATCAGAGATGAGGATGGCACAATAGAGCAAGTTTCAGATTAGTTCTTCATAGCACCTAGGAGACTGTATCTAGGAGACTGAACATCACCTACCAGCAAAATAATGAAAGTTCCAAACTCACTACGAAGTCCAGAAGCAACACCCACCACTAGCTGAGAGTATAGCAAATATGTTTTTAAATGGTGCTTCCATGAAATCCAGCTGAGGATCAAATGACATCAGCACAGAACAAAGATAAGACTATTTGTCCACTCTACATTGACCTATTGGGGGAAGTCACAGCAGTTTGAGGAGCATGGGGTCATTTTTCATTTTTTCAGCACTCCCTAATTTATCTCCTGAGGTGGATCATAAAACTTTATATAGAAACAAACATTAATAAGATTATTTATGGTGTTATCAGCAGCCACCACATCAGCAGCAGCCCCTGCATCATCAGTAGCAGTGGATGGCTATTAACTAGGGAAAAACTGAATTCACACCACCTTCAAAAAAGAGTGAACTGAGTTGAGTGGGATACTAGAGTGACACACCAGGAGCAGCAACCACCAGGACCCAGGGAGCCATGACCTGCCACAAGTCACTGCAACCCAGCAACCCCGCCAGGAGTAAGCAGGACAGCTGGAATTTGAGTGAGATACTCTGTGGGGAGCACAGCTGTTTGTTAGACCACATGAGACACATTAAGCTCAAGCAGGAAGGAGTGAGACAGCTGAAGCTCAAGTGAAGCAGCAGACCCAGTTCTCCAGGAGAAAACCAAGGCGTCTGAGTTTTTCTTTCATGCATATGTGTCCCTACCTGTCCACTGCACGCATGCCTGCCCTGCATGTGTGTCTGCCCTGCACACACCTAAGCTCTGTCTTGCATTTTCTCACATCCAGTCAATTAACTGGCTTTAGCCCTGGATACCATGAACTGACCTAACTGAAACAGTTTTCTGACAGAAGAGGCTGCCTTCACAGGCCTTTTCTCCCCTGAACTAAAAGCAAATCTGCTCTTGGCTCAGAAGTTCAGACAGAAACACAGGAAGGATAGCTGCCCCACCCACGTCTGGAGCAGTGACTTTAGATCAAGTGCTGGCTATTGCCTCAGGCATGAAAAACTCTACCTCAGCAATGTCATGTAAGAAGCAGGCTACCTCACACCCTACACAAGCCCAAAGACCCTAAACAAGTCCAAAGCAAGTTGTCACCCCTCAAAAATGACACAGTATCAATGGATTTCCTGAAGCCAGAAAGCCTGAAAGACTTTAAAAGAATTTAAAAGAACAATAATTAAATGTTTTCAATGGGTGAATGACAAATGAAGAATTACAGGACACTGCAAACAAAAATTTGGAGGAGCTTAAAAAAACAATGCAAAACAATGCAGCTAAAACTAATGAGGCTTTTGAGGCTCTGTAAAAACAAAAAACTGCAATCCAAAATATAGAGTCCAAATTTTCAGATGCTGTCAACATAACAGAGGGACACATGAACAGAGTTGAAGGGATGGAACACAGAATCAGTGAGATAAAAGATAGAATTGTCACCACTAACCTACTAGAACAAAAAGCAGAATAAAAAAAGAAAGAAAAAGAATAAAACCTAAGAATAATGTAGGATACCATCAAGAGAAATAACATGCCCATAATCAGAATACCAGAACAGGAAGAAGCAAGTAAAGGCACCAAAAAAGTAGTGGAAAAATTACTAGAAGAAAACTTCCAAGGCATAATGAAGAATGAGAGAATATATATTTGAGAGGCTGAGCAAACACCATACAGAATAGACCCCTTGCCTAAAAAAAAAAA